CGACATTTCTAGCTCTCTATCTCTCTCCTTTCCTCTCTGTAAAAAATAAATAAAAATATATTTTAAAAAATCTTTAAAAAAAATAAATAAAATAAAAATAGGCACTTTGTATTGTTCTCATCAAACAATAAAAAAAGTTACAATTACATATTGTTGATAAAAATATTGTTTGTCCTATAATTTCTTTCTCTCAGCTGTTTATTCTTATCATTCTTAAAGTGCAATGCAAAGATATTCCTCCGTTCCACCAGACTTAATTATGTTTATATCTTTAATCAGTATGCTGATGTGTAGTTCAATATACTTCTATTTACAGTGCTTCGACAAAATAGTTTACAATTTTTCACTCCAATAATTTGGAAGTACCCCAAATCTGTACTACTCATTGTATTGCTCTCAGATGATGCTTGACAGATAAACATGCTCAATAACTGTTGGACTGAATTTCAAAGATGAATTTCTTTTAAAACATGAGTTATATTTTAATATGCTTACATATAAATCATTTATATAAATCATTAGTTCCATTATTTTATATGCTTAATCAATTGAAAGTGACAGTCATTTTTTATTCTTTTTGATAGATTCAATACAATGAAAAATCTCAAAGTTATAAACTTGGCAACTGTGAATTTTACAGTTTTTTTCATAAAACATTCATCTGATACTTTATTTAGTTAAGTTACCATGTTCAATAACCTAATTTATATGAATAACATTAGAAGTGCTTTGTGTGAATTGTATTTAAATTTTTTGTTTTGAACATAATACTTTTTTTCTTCTGAACTTCACTAACTCTTTAAAGTACATTATGTTTTACTTCCCTTAGGAATTGAATAATATTAGAAATAAAAAGAGGCTTTAAAAGGACACTTTTCAAAACTTTTCAAGACTTGATACTAGTGACTATGGTTGGGAACAATAGCCACACTTACAGATTGGCCTGGTCCTAAAAAAGATTAAGCCAGGTCAATTTGGCATAAAAGCATTTTATTTGGCATAAAAACATTTTATTATGTGATTCCTTATCTAATCCTTTTTTTCTTATGGCATTTACAGAAGGCAAATTTCATTTTACAAAGTAAGTGGAACTGTTATATATTACTTCTTGAATCTCTCACACCTACTAATTCAGATCATAATTGATTTCTCCAAAGTAATAAAAAGAAAATCTCCACACTTAGATTATCACACACATCCTGTTGAAGATCATAATGCATTCCTAATAGAGTCCCTGATTTTTGGTGCTTACGTTTAAGGGAAAAGAGAAGCTCTGGATTCTGGGTGCTCTTGGCGCACTGGGGAAGCAAAGTAACAGTGGACAATTAGATATATGTGGGACTCTTGAAACATAGGTTGGGATGAGAGGCAAAATGTTGAGGGGAAATCAATGATATAAATATGAGGTCCTAAGACATATGTCTAAATCCCTCTACTAAACCTTAACATTAATTTCCTTGATAAGGTCCCTTCTCTTGGAACTAAAGCAGAATTGACTTAAGTTCATGAATAGTAGGGTTCAGAATCTTTGGCTGAGAAAAATGACCAGTGAAATCTGATGGCGTAGGTGCATAATGTATGCCAAACATTTAAAGGCCTGAAACTGTGACAGCTGGAGCTGACTAGGACTACGCACTGGCTTTGAAGATACAGGAGGAAGTGAAAGCTCTGCTTCTCATGAGCTCTGAGACCATGTCCAAGACGCCTATCCTCCCTGAATCTTGGTTTCTTCAGCACGTGATTAGATATATTAGCATTGCAAAATAAGTCACATTGCACATCTGGAGATTCCTACTATGCTAGAACGTAAGAGCCCAGCGGCTTGAATTTAATTTGAATGACAAACAAAAAACAAAAAACAAAACAACAACAACAAAAACTATCATTTCTCTATTTTCCCTTTGGACTATGTCAGACCTACAATGTCATCACAAAAGTTTTTGTTACTTGTTTGTTCTGCCTATCCCTCAACATGGTGTTCACTCTTAGCCCAAATATATAGAATTTTTATGTTCTAATTAAGAAAAAAAACTAATTTGTCAGATAATGGTCTGTAATGAATCTCCTTGCAATTTCTTTTAAAATGCAATTCTATAAACTATATGAATTTTTCTTTAAAAAACAGATCTTGATCGTCGTCTTGATCATTGGTCAAGATAGTACAGTTTACATTGAATATACCCCCAGTTGACTTGATGTTAAGGAATCACAATTTGTCACACACTGTAACATGCCAGCATGCTATAAAGCATCAATGTTCCCACTAACCTGTTTCTCTCCTCATTGAAGTCCACTACTCCTTATGAATGCTGGCTTACTAAGTCTGTCACCACTATTTACTAGTGACCAAACCAGAAGCCAAATAATCATTCTTGTCTCCCATCTGCCCCATCCATTGAACCACAAAGATCTATCTACTTTACTGCTTCAAGTTTAGTCTTCCTTCCTTCTTCCTGCCCTAACCATAGTCTAGTTGGTAATTATCTCTTGATAGAACATTGAAAACACCTGATAGCTGTTCCTTAGTTCTTTCCGCCATTCAACCCCAGCATCCCACTCTAGTCAAATGATTTATTTATATGAAAGATCAAATCTTGACACTCTCTTACTAGAAAAACTCTATTAGTTTCCCTATTTCTCAGGCCAAAAAAAAATTAAAATTCCAGATTTTTTTTATTGTCACTATCTCTTGGTTCTTGCTGACTTCCTTTTTCTTAAATGTTATGCCTCAATAATAATAAGCAGATTTTAGTTCCCTTGGTGCTCACTATGCTATTTAACCCTATTGTGCTTTTGTAAGCTTTAACCCTTGCTTGGGTTTTCCTTCCTAGTTTCTTTTTATGTGTTCTACTTAATGTTTCAGGCTCAGCTCAGAGGATTTATCCTTCAGAAAATATATACTAGTTCCTAGGATGGGCTAATTCTTTGTTCTTTCAAAGGATCCTGTGTTCACTGGGATTTGACTATTTACCACACTGCATTGATCTGGTTTCTTTTATTTTAAAGATAAAAGGCACATTTTATCTATCTCCTTTAGGTAAGAGATGGCTAGTTCTGGCTTTCTAGTTTACCAGAACTAACCAAGTTTCATATTTGTTCTCTACCTGTTTTTTGTTTTGTTTTGTTTTGTTTTGTTTTGTTTTGTTTTTAATTCACTTGGCCATCCAAGGCCCTTCAAATAACACTTCTTTTTGAAATAAGAAAGCCAGAGTTAGCTTCTGATGCTCTTAACCAAAGAAACTTACTTATCTATTTTGGTATTACAATTTTTTAAAATTTCATAGCACAATCATGGCTATTTCCACAGTAGCTACTACTTTTCCTAGGGACAAACTGTGGCCTCTCAAATCTTTGATTATTTGAAGCTGGCATATACACAAAAATATATTATAGATATAAATATGCATGCAAACATACACATACAAATATCAACTGAAGATGGTTTGGTTGGTGCGCACACAGTGTAATGTATAGATTTTATATTATAGAAATGTACACTTGAAACATATATGATTATTAACCCATGTAATCCTAATATATTTATTAAAAATAAATATCAAGGGCTACAACATATTTTTCTTGATAAAATATTCCACTCAGGAAAATGTGTATATTAATGTGAAGTCCTGAGAGTAACACTTTGTTTTGTTCCCTGATATATCTCAAACCCAGACAAATACTTGGAACATAATAGTTCTTTAAAAATGTGGGTTGGAGGAGAGAATGGATGAAGAAATGAGTGAACTAAGTAAATTAATTTTTTAAAAAACAGAATTAAAAATATTGACTCTGGGTAGAGAAATTGAATTTGACAATGTTGCTCCAGAAAATGTATTTTCTGGGTAATACATCCTATATAATAAAGAGAGAATATGCTAACTGACCCTCACACCATTGCAAAGATGGCAATGCCCACAGCCAATAAGGAGGAAATATGTGAATTTACTGTCCCACCCTCAAAGATGGCTGCGCTGACAGCCACAAGATGGTGGCACTCAGTCCCCTCAGCCCACCAGGGCGAATCCGCTCACCTGCCTCCAGAGCCCCCCAGTCCTCTCAGTCCCCCAGTCACCCAAGGCCAGCCTGAGGCACAGACAAAACTTGTATTGTGGTTGTCCAGCCTTCCAGGGCTGCCAAGGGCCCCCCAAGGCTCAGGTAACCAGGAATGGCTGAGACATGGGCTGCTAGCAGTGACAGCAGCAGAAGTGTGATGAGGACATTGTCTTCCCCTGATTGAAGGGTCACCTCCTGCCCCGAGGGCTCACAGACTGTGAGAGGGGGCAGACTGAGCTGAGGGACCACCCCTCCAATGCATGGATTTTCATGCACTGGGCCTCTAGTAGCTTTATAATTTCTAAAAAAAAAAATGAGCTAACTTAGTTTAAATCTTGACATATTTTGCCAAATCAGTTGCAAAGACTGAAATCTAGGTATTCAATTCAAGCTTTGATTCCCCAGGAAATCACTACTTATAACTAAGCTGATAATTGTTAAATAAACAAAATAGATAGAAGTTTTTATATCTGATTCTTTTTTATATTCTCAATTATTATTAAACAATTCAATAGTTATTGCAAATAACTCTTTAGGTAAGTTCTATTTTCCTCATTTTACAATGGCTTTTAAAACATGACAAAATTTTAAAAGTGGCTTTTTTGAGAGAATCAAAAAAAATTCAACATCGAATCCCTGAGTGCTATAAAGGTGATCAGATTCACTTCCGTTAGTTAAGCATTACCAAAAATAAAATATGTGTATCTATTTGGCTTGAACTATATATATATATGCCAAATGTGGAGTCATATAAGTAGATATAAATCACAACCAGTCACAATATGAGCACATACAAAGAAATGGAGGCATGAAGGCAATTTTGAGAGGAAATAAGGAGAAGAAAGAGTGCTATAAGTATTGTTCTGGAATTGAACAGATTTTTCTTAGAAATATTGTATTCAAATATATCATTTGTGTTCTTGTGAAACTAAATCTATTCAACTCACCTTCATACAACCAGTCAGCAATTCCATTAAAAATAATCCCTTCTTTTCCAGAAGATGTCAGTCGCAATGAACTGCTCTTTATATCAGGTTGATAGTAGATATTATTTTCAAAGATATAAATCTGGATCAGAAAACATGTAGAACAAACAAACCCAACATATTAGGAAACCTTTTTTAAAGCTTTTTTATTATACAACAATAGCTGAAGAGCTGTGTTTTGTCTGTCAGTTTTCCATTTGCCTTTATTTAATGCATATTTTTATATTGCTTTTAATTATTAATAGTTATTTATTTCTTTATCATTATCAATATCAAACTCTCATCTAGAAATAATATGATCCTCACTATTTAAAATTTTAAACCCTTATTTTTAACCACAACTTTTCATCTACTAAATAATCTCGTGCTATTACTTTAAAGTTGATTTGGATTTGAGATAATATTTTGCATCCTCAAGAGACTCTAAACTATATCAGATGCCATTTTAGTAAACAGCCAACTGACTGTTTGAAAGGCTTCCAGTTTGTGTCTTTATTTTTACTTTTTGTGGTCAGTGAAATAATATTTACAGACTCTGTCTGATTCTATCTAGCTCCATATACAGATCTGCTGATCAAACGAAAGGATGATAAAATTCCTTGTAATTGTTAAGTCAACAACGCTTCACTATACCCTACTCTCTTCTGGCAACTCTTTCCCAAATAGCATATCAGTAATAACAACCTTGTGCCTGAGAGCTTATGAAAGAATTTTTATTTAAATACATAAGAGAGTCTTCTAAAATAATAATAACAGCAACGGCCCCAATAATACTAGCTATAAATAATATCAACAAAATAATAGCAACATCAGGGTAAAATTATTTATAACCTCTTTAAAATATCTTTAGTGATAAGCATTTCAAACTGCTGGCAGATGTGATAATATAACCTTCATAGAACCATGTTTCATCCATATATTGAAGGGAATAGAATACTGTCCACCATGAGCCAAATTGCTGTTTTGATTGAACATTCTACTAAGAATGTGAAAACTGGCCAAGTGCCCATGTGTTCCAGCAGGCTGTAGGATCATCATACAAGAGCAAATACAGCAAACATAATAGCTTCTAAAATAATTATTTGATTAATTATGAGGCCCTAGATTTATAATCTTGGTGTGCACAGTGATGAAAGCGATGTTAATATCCAGAATATTTCATTCATATTCTATTTTGATTTTGATTATTAGGCAAGCATTCAACAGTTAGAGTATCTAATTAATCATTCCACCACTACCTGACACTTATAGATGAGAATGTTAATAGAATAAAAAGAATTTGGCAAGAGAGAAGAAAGAAATATACAACAGGGTATTCAAAAATATGGGCTTTATAATAGGGTAGCCTAAATTTAAAATCCCAGTGACATGAATACTTTTCTGTGGCTTTCTCAATCTTTATCTTCTCCTTTAATAAATGTTTATGCCTCATTTCAGATATCTGTTGTAAGAATAAATGAGATGATGCATATAGAACATAATGCACATGTGGCTATTACTGGAAGCAAGGCTGACCACACTCAGAATACTTTGGTTTAAAATCCTGGGCCTTTGAAGATTACAAACTCTAAATCAAAACAAAACCTCTACAGCTTCAGCCAAGATATAAATTATCCCAAACTATTGACAGTCCTACATGTGATGCTGATGTGAAAATTTATTAGGAGTAGTAGTTGAATAGTACTACCAGGCAAAGAAGGAAGATGAGATATTAACAAATAATATTTACTGCTTTTGCTTCATTTAGGAAGTTTTCAAGTGATAATAGAACATAGAAATTAATTTATTATTAAAAGCATATTTGTACACTTTGGCAAAAGTTTAAAACCTATATCTCAGGTGTTGTAAAACTGAATGGAAGTTAACTTTAATGACATTCACCATCCCTCTTGACAGAAAAATAAATGTTAACTATTCCAGCCATCTAAAACTTAAGTTTTACATCTTTTGTAAATCTTACAAACAATATATGAAATAGTCACACAAAATCATCCTGACTTAGAGGGAATTTCCTCCTTGGATCTGAATCTTCTAATTAGGGCTTGTGAGTAATGATAATTCAGATCATCCACACTCAGGCTATTTAAGCAAAGTGGCTATTATTATTAGAAGTGACTTAACTCAAAGTAAAATTTTTCCAAATTCTCTGCTTTCTGAAGGTAAAAACAACAATCCTAAGTCAAATAATTAATAAAACCTCCATTATTTCATCAGATATATAAATTATCTAAAACTATTAACCAGGAATTACATTTACAGTTGAAGAACAGATTGGATGATATTCAGAATCCATAAAAAAAAAACCTGACATCTGCTTCAATGTGAAAGAACAAGCAATATGGAATCAGAATTTTAATGTCATTCACTCAAAGCTGCAATACCAGATATTGTCCAAAAGATCATTTTTTTTCTGTGGACAAAATTACTCGATACCTTCATAAAAATGTACATTTATAATTTCCCAACCCCTTTCAATTATCAAGGTGTTTCCAAGAATTGCACAGTTTCAAATAACAATCACAAACTCTAAGCACTACCTTAGCAATATGAGAGTTGCAGTTTTTTTCAAGTCCGAGGTGAACAGGCTGATGAATTAAACTGGTACCAAATGGCAATCATCAGGGGCTGTAGCTAGTGTTCAATCACATTGAAAATATGACAAACACTAATGTCATTTATCCTAATGCTGCTGATTAAACTGTCATAATATTTTGATGTCATTAATCAATTCTTTCAGTGAGCCACCTGAACAGTATGACAAATAGAAGTGGGTAGCTATATGACCATGTAACCCTTCAATCTATAGAGCAACCCAACTGCCCAGTTTTTCAACATTAATTATTTTAATACATTTAAAAATAATTACAAATGGTAAAGTTACCACTAGGGGAACAAGAAGACAGAAGAAATACTATGGGCTGACAAGTTGAGAAATAGGTAATAAGTGTTTCGAGAAATCATTTTAATAAATGTTAGTCAATATTGCTAATTATCAATGACCAGGCACATATATAGTTATTGCTGGGTAGAATTCTTTTCAGAGCAAATTTTCAATTTTCTGCCCCTTGCCACAACCACCAACAATGCTTCAATTGTGGAAAATAGGCATGAAGCAATACTTTCCCCACCCCTAGCCAATTGGTAATGAGCACATAGCAAGAAATGAACCCTGGTGTTAAAGGTCATTAAGATTTTGAGATTGAGTGACCACAATGTACACTAGCCTACTATGACCGATTCAACAGGAGATAATACCTGATACAAACTCTTCCAACTTTTAGCTAGCTTAAAAGAACACACACACACAAAAAAAAACAGAAAAATAAAACAAAAATATAACTGAATATTGGATCTATTTTAACTGAAATATTACTGAAAAGCTAATTTATCCTTACTGATTTAAGGATAATTTTACTTTAGAAAGCTGAATTATTAAAAATAAATCCCCAAGCATTGTAATGATGTAAGAGCATCTGTAAAGTTACAGTGGAGTTCGGATAGTCTTTGGGTTGCCTTCTACTGTGACTTCTACTGGGGGAAAAATTATAATGACTTTCCCAGATAACACATTCTGGCAGGGATAAGGTAAAGGGGTGCTTTCCTATGTTGACAGTGATAAGGGCTAGCTTGCTAGCTTAATTAGGCAGACAGGAAACTGGGGGAGGAAGAGCAGGGGTGTCCAGGAGAATGAAGGCATTTCTGGCCTGAGCAATTAAAATAGCAGCCACTGTGAACAGTATGGTGTTTCCTCAAAAAACTAAAAATGAAACTCCCATTTGACCCAGTGATCCCACTTCTAGGAATATATCCCAAGAAATCAGAAACACCAACCAGAAAGGATATATGCACCCTATGATCATAGCAGCACAATTCACCATAGCTAAGATTTGGAAACAGCCTAAGTGCCCATCAGCGTATGAGTGGATTAGAAATCTGTGGTACATCTACACAATGGAATACTACACTGCTATTGCTATAAAAAGAAAGAATTTGTACCATTTGCAACAGCATGGATGGAACTGGAGAGCATTATGCTAAACAAATTAAGCCAGTCAGAAAAAGGTAAATATCACATTATCTCACTCATTTGTGGAATATAATGAACAACATATACTGATAAACAAAAACAGATCCAGAGACAGAGAAGTGTTGTTGATCAGTCTCTCAAACTTCAGAGGGAAAGTAGGAAAGGGTGGGGGTACGTGGGAGAGATGAACCAAAGGACTTGTATGCATGCATATAAGCCTAACCAATGGACACAGACACCAGGCGGGTAAGGTATGAGTGATGTGATTGGGGGCAATAGGAGAGATAAGGACACATATGTAATACCTAAACTGATAAAGAAAATAAAAGATTTAAAAAAAATAAAATAGCCCTGACCTGAGCAGCTAGGAGAGCCAGGACAATAGAGGGAGGTACATGGGAGAGGACTGCATAGATGGGGGCTTGGAGATGCCAAAAAGCTTATCTCACTTGTACAGAGGATAGAGAAATGCCAGAGGAGGGGAGTGGTGGGGGGAATACATACACTCTCAGGGGATAAAAAAAAGTCACAGGATATTAGAAGATGGAAACATACATATTTTTACAGAGAATTGAGGAAAGTTGCAAGATAAGGGGAGGGAATGAGGGACATCACGTGAGCTTTGAGCTTTGAAACGAATACTATGTGGCAGAGTAACCAATGAGGAAAGCATGGGTCCTAAATTAATGAAGGGTCTAATGAGAAAGGGTCAGGTTCAGACAAAGGGCTACAGCCTTTATAAACCCGGAGACAGAGAGACTCAGGAGACTTGGATTTTATAGATTTTTCCCCCCATTACAGAGAGAGAGGGAGCAAGAGAGAGCGAACAGGCCTTTCCCCTTTGGGGGCTCCTCCCAAGGGGTTCTCTTTGGGGACACCCCTTCCCAGATGGAATTTGTATATGCTCCCAATAAACACCTACTTTTTTATTAAAGAAATCTGTTATTCTTCAACTTCATCGGACAAGGATCCATGAGAAAATCTCTACCCCAAACCCCACGTTTTAACAGTGAAGATATAAAGTATCATGGCCATATGGGAAAGCAATACAGCAG